AAAAAAAAAAAAAGAAAACATTTAGAAAGATAAACTAAACAAACTTTCTGAAGAGTAAATTGGCAGTAATAGTATTAAACAGCTCTAAAAAAGCAAAGTGTTAAGAAAACGAAACCTCTGCCCTTCTTCTAGAAATGTATCCTAAGAAAATAATTATGAACAAAAATGTAGCTACGAAAGTATGCTTAATATTGGCATTAAAAATATGAATATGCTTAATATTGTTATTAATGGAGAAAATTAACTGACCCAACAATTTAACATTACAGTATTAATAAACTACAAAATATTCAGACAGAAGAATACATAAAACCACTGCAAACAATTGAGTTTAACAGTAGGGACATGCAAAGACGTTGATAAAACTATTGTTAGGCACAAAGAAATCACAAAAAAGGATATTCGGTAAGATCTCAGAAAGTTTCCTTAAGTATAAAAAAGTAAGAAGATACATACCAAAATGTCAATTGATTAAAATAAGCTAACAGTAAGATTATATGAAAAATTTCCCCTTACTTTCTAAATGTTTGAAATTTTGTATATTACTAATACTTTTATAGAATGGAAAAGAAAAGCTCTTGAAAAGATATTTTAAAAGAAAGCATAGTTAGGTTTTAAATACTTACTTCAAGCCTGTCAATTCTTTGTCTAAGAAGTGAATGACAACTGTACTGAATACAAAGCTTGAGAAAATCGTGAAGAGACCAGCAATACCTAAGATGACAAAATTCAATATTGAAAAATTGTTATTCTTTATTACACAGCTAACACTTAGTCTCTCATTATATTCCAAGATAAAGAATATAATTTTTTCCAGATTATTAAATGTCAATAATAAGAAGAGGAAACTATCAAATGCACGCAGCACACTTCCAGCAATATACATTATTTCTAAACATGATTTGAACAAATACGTTTCTCTCCACAGTAAACCAAAAATCTGATGGCACACAAAGAAGTTAAATATATAAAAGTATTACCCAAAATATATTTTGATCCAAGTTGACGTAGATTCTGAAACTGGAAGTAAATATATAGGATTGCTATGCATCGTGTTATTGTCAGAATTATAATGTCACTGCTCAAAACATCCTATAGGGAGATAGAAAAGAAAACTCCAATAGCTCTGAATTTTAAAACAAGCAATCAAAAATAAAAATTTTTATTTTGTATGTCATTAGTTTATACGGTGTCAAGAGAATATAAATGTAAGCAAACTATAAGTACAATAAAAATATCAAATATACAAATAAAAAATCAAATCCAATTTTTTAAAAAAACCACTGTAAGCCAATACATCATCACAATCATTTTTGACTATTAGTCATTTATAAAGGCTGCAGTTCTCAATCGCACCCATTTATACAGAAAAGGCAACAGAAAGTATTTCCAGTATGTTTACATATCATGTAAGTAAAGGGAAATTTAAGATAAGTCCATGAATAAAGATTTTACTCATAACTTTTTTAAATTATATGTCTCTATAAAAGGACCCATAAGGTGTCTTTAGAAACTAAAAATTTAATGTACTTTAGTCAACAAAAAAATAAATATCACTAACCTCTTCAAACTTTGGACACTCATAATTCCAACCACAGATCTTGTCGTTGCCAGTGAACATGTTCATGGACATCATACAGATGGTCAGTGTCACTGTCCCCACTATGACTTCCCAGGGATGGGAGGCCACAAAGAGGCCATGCATTCGGAAAAGTCTTGACAACATTGCAGTGACAGAATCCTTGGATCCTGGAAAGAATGTCAAGTATGAAAACTTGGTATATGACTCAATGTATTTTTAAGAAAAGATTTTATGGAAAAGTGTGCTGTAAACCCTGTAACGCAGTTTCCTATACATAGGACTGTTTGATAGTGTTCCTTGTAATTCTGGAAAATACTAAGCTTTCTTTTTCTGGTAGAGACAGGGTCTTGCTCTTGCTCAGGCTGGTCATGAATTCCTTACCTCAAGCAATCTTCCTGCCTTAGCCTTCATAGTGCTAGGATTGCAAGCATTAAATGCCAGGCCCAGCCAGAATCTACTTATTAAGGGTTCTCCTGTTAAATCATGTTGGTTTATAAGCCCCTGAAAGGAAGAACTAACTACATTTTCTCATTCTGTTAAATGTATGGCTTAACATTACTAGCAAACTCACATTTAATAAACCTTCCTCATGTTGCTGCCATCAGAGGAAAATCTATTCTGATAGATGTTTCTACGTTAATAAAAAGGGGTAAGGATTTTGCTGCATTGGCTGCTTTTCTTCTAGCACAATCATCAACAATAGGGTTAGGAGATCAATGGAAAAAGAGTTAGATGTGAAAAACTCCCAAACCTTTATAGCTAATTAGAAGCCAGAACAGTAGTAGAAAAAAAGGATGATGGCTGAAGCATGTCTACAGCAGTCAAAGAATTCCCAGCAGAATATATAGAAGATTCTGATTTAGTGACTATCATGACTATATTTCCTATTTGCTGTTTAAATATTATAATAATAATTTGATATTCTAATTTTGAAAAAATCTTATATAATCTTTGGCCTCTACAAAGGAACTTGCAAATCATACTTTTTACATGAAAATTAATGCCTATCATAAAGCATATCATAATGACAACCCATAAAAATTAATTAGAATTAAGATGTAAAAAGCCCACTGATTGCCACTTTAGCAAGAATTCAAATGAATCCCATATTTAGTAGTAACTAAGAAAAGCGAGTCATCTATTAAAGACAGAAAATAAAAAGGCCAACCAATTAAGTAAAAGAAAAAGGATTAATCTGTCTAAAGGGTTAAAGAAAAAACAAATTTGGGAGGCGCCTGTGGCTCAAAGGAGTCGGGGACCGGCCCCAGATACTGGAGGTGGTGGGTTCAAACCCAACCCTGGCCAAAAAAAAAAACTCTCCCCCCACCCCCAAAAAAAAGAAAGAAAGAAAGAAAAAACAAATAGTTTTTAGAAGCCAAAGCAACTATCAACTGTCACTTCTCACCAGCATCATTTCACATTCTCTGCATTTCAACCATACAAGGCCATTAGCTTTATAACTGGTTTTCAACTGCAGGTCACAACCCTTCACGGGATTAATCAGGTCATGAAATCAATTTTGTGGGGAAGAACAAACATCATTTAATAAAATAGAAAATAATACAAAATATAGCTGTTTGGTAAGATGCATTATGAGTAAGTGGCATTTCTTGAAACTTTAAGTTATACGAAATTGTGTGTGTGTGTGTTTTGGCTTCCAATATAACATGTATTTCTTACTGCATGTCTCAATTTTAAAAGGCTAGCAGTTACTAAGGGATATAAATGTGGCATGCATCTGCCTATGATTGTTCATGCTTTTTCAACCTTCCATCCTGAGTCTTACTCATTATTTTACCCTCTAGCACCTTACACTCATGTATAGCATTGCTCAACATAAACCAGCTGAACTAAAAACAAATTCTTAAACTATAGCACCAGGCATTTTATTGACAAAACTTGAAACAGACCTAAAGATGACTTTTTTAAAGGTACCTAGATACAGATGTAATCCATGCCCTCCAGTTCAAGTCCAAATGCAGAACTTTCAAGAAACACATTAATGGGGAAAAGAGAGAAACATTATCCATACGGCTTGAGTATCCTTAGTCTGCAATGCTTGAGACCAAAAGTGTTTCAGATTTAGGATCTTTTTTTCTTTCAAACTATTTGCATTACCTTTACTGGTAATCCCTAATACAAAAATCCAAAATGCAAAATGCTCCAATGAGCATTTCCTTTGAGCATCATTTCAGATTTTGGAGCATTCATAGAAAATGAACAACAACAAAATACTTTCTATTAAAGTAGCAGGAATTTAGACTTAAAGCAGTGGTTCTCAACCTTCCTAATGCCACGACCCTTTAATACAGTTCCTCATGTTGTGGTGACCCTCAACCACAAAATAATTTTCATTGCTACAGTGGTATTAGGAAGGTTGAGAATCACTGACTTAAAGTATTGGAGAACTTTAATTTTTTTTCTTGAATGTGGCAAAGATGAATTTATACCTAGGATATAACATCTCCGAACTTGCATTATCACCATGAAATCTTTTGAGGGAAAACGTGTCTAGTGTATAATTAGGGATTAATCACACTAAACCAATCAGTGAACAAATATAGGGTTCCTTCCTGCTTGAAGCAGCTCAAATTTTAATTCAGCTAAATTAACTTTTTTTAATTTCAACTTTTTTATAATTCATAATTTCTATTTTCTTTTATAAAATTAGAGAGAAAGGGATGAATTAACATATTAGCTTAGATTTGAACCCTACCCAATTATAACCAAAACCTCATTAAAAGGCTAGATTTTCATGATGATAGTCTATACTATAAATTCTTTCTTATACTTGTAACAAAATTCTACAAGCTGGTCTTAAGACTCAACTAGCATCAACATTCCAAAAAGTCAATTAATTATGTTAACTGAAAATGTAATTACATTACGTTTGAAAATTAGGTCAAAATTATTTCTTTTTTTTTTTTTTGAGACAGAGCCTCAAGCTGT